CCTGAATTATTAATGAATAAATAATAATTATTCGGGAAACCAGAAGATAACTCGTAGATAACCAAAAAACATAAAAATAGGAATAGCCCTATTTTCTTTTTTAAATAAATCAATTTTTGACCCAACCTGTATACGGAAAAAACGATAAACAAGGTATTTCTTAATACGTGAGAAGCTTGACGAATCAAAAGAAAAAAAAAAAAAAAGAAAAGAAGAATCATCGTCCCCCTAGGCAGAAATCGAGAAACGAACGCAGAGTGTTCCACGCACTATGTACTATGCCATCCTAATCTTTCCCCCGACCTCTCGCGTACGAAGAGACACCTTGTACAGAAGCGCAAGAAATTCTTTTCTCGAAATTCTAACGCACCGATAAACGCTTGACTTGAATGCCACTTACGCTGTGCACTCTTTCTCTTGTCTGTTCTATGTGTTCTTTTCTTTACGCCACATTCTTCGTCAACCACCAACCAACCACTAAATATACATGTATATCGACCATTCGAAACAACAACAACAACGACACGAACCTCGTACGAAAAAAAAAAAAAAAAAAAAAATACTCTACGATTCGAAAACATTCGAATCTCCTTCGTTGGACTGTCCCCGACTGATCAACTTCAAAAAAAAAAAAATCCACGAAAAATATATATACATCTCCGCCTCTCTCTATCTCTTCTCTTCGGCCGCATTGACGCTGCTCTCACATTGTTGGTTACTTCTGTCCTTTTACTTACGTCCACGCTCACACCATCGGTAAAACGACCATGGTCACCATGGCCGCCATGGTAACCCCTACTGGTCTGGTCCGAATACGACCCCACCTACCATCGCGTACGGTGAGTTCATTTCTGTTGAAAGTCCGCATAGATCTCGGTCTCGCCGAGGATCGCGCGAGCTTCCAGAGGCTTGGATCCTTGAATCGGCCGTTCACGATCCCCCAACGAAATGAATTTCCACTCTTGCAAATTGATCGAAGCTTCGATGAACATCGCTACGATCGTCTCGTCCTCGAGAAAGTCGTTGGAGTCGATTAGAAAGTTGGGGGATCGATCGAATCGGCAAGAATGAAACGGCGACGATAATGTTTCCATCTGTTTTTTTTTTTTTTTCGAGGGGGGGAAGAAACGTAACAAAGACGTTTATTGACGAACAGGGTCAGCCTCCTCGGCCGAGATCCTCGACGAGCCAAGCAGCGAGATATAGGAACACGTTCAGCGCCCAACGGTCGGGATTCCCTGTCGAGGCGGCTCTCGTCGAATTTCCGGATCGGATAATCGAGTCGCGAGCGTCCCTCGACGGAATCGCGCGCCATTGGGCTCGCGTGAAGCTTTCCTACTGTTGATAAGCGAATCCGCGTGAGAGGGCATCGACGAAATCGAGTTCCATAGGCGTCGCGACAGGAATTAACAATAATCGGTTTGGAGAGGGGGGGGAAGTGACTGTGTCGCGCGACGCCTATGCGTCGAAAGACACGGAGATCCATCCGGCCACGCGATTCGACCGGATTCGCTCGGACCTGTATATTCAAAACGATCATCTCCTCACCCGACGTTCCACCTCTTCGAGCTGAGACACGTTCGAGACGAAATTATGTTCTCGTAAGGATTTAATTCAATCCGTTAGAGTCGTGTAAACGCCTCTTGCGCTGGAATGACGAAACGGCCACTCGCGTCTTGCTCGGAACATTCTTGTTCCGAAATTATTGTAATATTTTCTCAGTTTTAAGTATGTTTCAATGGTAACGCAGGCAAAACGAATGATAAGTTTGTTACTTCTCAATGATTATCTGCCCGACGAGTTCGACAGAGAAACAAAGCGACGAATTATCGTGTACGATTCGGTCGCTCGTTATGGTCCGCAATCGCGGTCGGCCGGCGCAAGTGGTCGGAGGGAGGTTTTGTGAACGAAACGAAACGAAACGAGAGAAGGTGAAATGAAAAGTCAGTAGGGAATTCTGACGAAGAGTCTGTTTTCGAAATGTTTGACAATTATTGGAGAATTGTTGGATCGACGACGTGATCGATCAGCTCGAGGAGCGAAGATGTACGCCTCTTAGACACGCTTCTGAAACAGTGGTATAGAGCACTAGTGGCCCGTGAAACGTTGTTTTGAGCACAGATCCAGAGCTTGCGATCGGACGGATCGGTTGCGATTTTTCAAGGTTTCGTGCGTCATTCTTTGTCAACCAGCACGTTGACGAACGATGGATCTCCGTCTCTGATGTACTCGGTGCCAGCCTCGGACACCCTGTGATAAATGTTAGCTCGGTAGTAGACTGTCGCAATGGCGTATAGAGAAGAGTCCGAAAAAAAAGAAAAAAGAAAAGAGAAGGAAAACAAGTAACCTTTCGTCCTTCCGAGTTGCAAGATGAATCGTGAAACGTTAATACGCCGGCTTTCGGACATTATTTTTCAAACCGTGATGTATCATGGGGAAGTTGGAAACGAAATTTGTCGACAGGTATGGGATTGCTAGCCGTGTACTGTTAACTCGGTGCTTCGTATTCTATTTATCATAAACGTCGGAGTTTCTCTTTTATTTTTGTTTTTCTTTTTCCCTCGTTCTCAATTCAGGTATTCTCTTTTCCCTCGGTTCCCCCGAGACGAATTTTCTCCAGCTTTAGATCTTTGGAAAATCACTGGGGAGAAGTTGTCTCGAAGCGAGAGATACGTCTTGGAGGAATGATATTTTACAAAATGAAACACGGGTAGTTTCATCTGGATGGATGTTTATACTTTGCGACTGTTTTATCTCAGTGTTTGCACCAAAGATGTATAAAACAATCTTGATATATATATACTTATTGGCGACTTTTCTAGATTTTCAATCGCTTTCAAAGCTACGTGCAAAGGATATTTAGAATATTTTTTTACTTCTTCGAAACGATTTCGTCGTCCAACTGATCGAAAAGTCGAAAGCTGGCGCCAAGTGGAAAAATTACACGGCTAGTATCAAGCAGTAGACTCGATTTGATCTTGTGGAAACTGGGTATGTATATTATACCGGTGGTGTTTAATGGCCATTGCGACAGACCACGAGTGCATAATCATGCGCTGACACGTAAATGTCTAGAGAGCAAAGGCTTGATCTGTTGTATAAATTAGTAGTGACGTACGTCGTTGTATGTGCCGCATCGTCCTTCTCAGTGAAAGCCGCAGGATCTAAGGGATGATTGATAAGTGTCTGCTCCCCCTCAGTCAGAGTCCTCGCTGAAATCTCTTGGTCGTGCGCTCTTCTCCTCGGAAGAATGCGTCGTACAAACGAACGGGAAACCGAGAAAGAAAGAAAGAAAGAAAGAAAGAAAGAAAATGAAAAGAAAAGAAATAATACAAAAAGAAAAGAAAAGAAAAGAAAAGAAAAGTACACCGCGGTGTACGATGGATCTCCGTATAGAGAGAGATCGTTCTTTCGAGGCTCTCGGTGAAGTCTGTTTCTCCCACTTCTGTTCTAATTTCTTGATCGATCCTTCTCCACCCCTGCTTTCGATATTTTCTCTCGCCACACCAAGAACGCGAAGTTGAGGTACGAGAGTTGAGGGTCGCTTCAGTCGTTGGTATCGATGAGGCAAGTCGACGAATATATCCTTCCACTCTCTTTTATTACATTTCGATGAATTCTTTTTCTTTTTTTCTTTTTTTTTTTTTTTCCATTGGGAAACCGGTGAGACGACGAGTAAATTTGTAGAATTAGAGGCTAAGAGTTGCAGAGAAAGTCTAGCCGATGTGAAACGACGTTATCAGGTTCAACTCTTAACACTAGAACTACCAAAAATTGAGTTCATAATTTTAGACAGACTGCAAGACAATGCATCTTTTAAAGATACGAATGAATCATTCGTGAAATGTGTAAAGAGTATTACAAAGTTTTTTTATCTTCTTTTTTTTTTTTTTCTTATTTTGGTGTCTCTGATGGAAATTTCACGCTTCAATCGTCGGTAGTTTTAGTGTTAATTAGTGTCATTGGGTTATCGAGAAACGTGACAATTTAGAATTAATTAAATTACTCGTTATTTAACATCTACGAAGAAATAAATATAATACATACGCAGTACTTCGCTGCAAATTGTTGCAATCTGTGGCCCAACGATGCTACTCGAAGGTTAGTCTCGAATTAATTAACAAAAAATTGGCGCTCACGTGCAAAAAGCTGGAAAAATCAGAATTTCTGATACCAATAAAGCATAAAATTTTCGTCTAATAGCGAACTTTCGTAAAACGACAAACAGATCATTTTCCAGCTTGCTTCAACACTCGCGTGTAAATCACCAGTGTAGTTCAATTTGCACATCGAGAGACCAACAAGAAAAATACACACGTGCCAGTCCAGAATATCGATCGGTGCTTTGAAACTTCTCGAGTTCGAGGCGTTGCCCGATTTAACACACGACACAGCGGCTAGTGAATAATTTCACCGGGGCGAAATAAATTCCACGTTTTACTCCTTTGTTTGTTCGCGTTCGTTGTTCTTTTCCTTTTCCCGGGACGCGCGTTCACGGTTCAGGAGATCAATTCGAACAGAAATTTCGGGAACGGACGTCGCAGGATATTCACAGAAATGTTTTCTTCCTGCCATCTCAGCAGAGAGAAACGTTCGCAAGAAGCTTTCCCATGCAGCGGATTACGAGAAATTCAAACGGGCCACGCGGTCGGCCATCGTGAAATTGAACCCACGTTCAATGTTCAGAGCCGAACGCCGCGCCGATTTCCTTAAAATTGACAATTGAAAATTTCACAAAGAGGGGAGGGGGAAAAGAAAAGAAAGTTTTCCTAGATCGGAGAAATCGGAGATGTAAATTCAGTTTATTACGTGTTTACGTTGCGTTTGGAGATGATGATTCGAAAAACGGTTGGAAAACGAAATGAAAGAAATGGAAAAGAAAAAAAAAAAAGATAGAGTCAGTAGAATCTCCTAATTCGCCAGAGCCAAATCTCGCCAACAGCAAGAACGAATGTTATTTTCTTCCATGTAAGTGACGAAAGTTACCCGATTTGCTGTAGCGTCGCAAGCCACGACAACCGCGAATTTAACCCGCGAATGCTTAGTGAAGCGGAAACACAACGACACCGGGACGATATTTTCACGTATGTCGATTCATGTGACACATGATTTTTTTTCTCTCTTCTTATAGAGCGAAACAAGTTGAACGTCTCTTAGAGAGACTTCCAAACGAGTATATTACTAATAACGTGCATAGATATCGTGTTTGTTCATCTCGGTCGTCCGAGAACGAACAGCTAGCGCGCGATTTCGTTTCTTTTTCTTTTTTTCAAAGGGGAACGCTTGCCAGTTCTTCACTACGATAGTCTCTATCAGAATGATCGAGTTCGAGCAGAGAAACTATCTGCGAATTGATTCGAATTCTCGGAGGAACGTGCGAACTTGTAAATAAAGAGCATAAATTTGCTACGGAAGTGCATTTGACGACGTTGATTCGATGTAGAGTAATTTCGCCGCTCTTTGAGAACGAGTGAACACTGCACCGCGAATAATTAAAACTGTTGCGAAAGATGTTTCGTTTTATCTCGACGCGAAGTGAAACGTTAGATTATTACGCCTTGTTTAATCGACTGCCTGTAGTACGCCACTCAACCCGTAACTGTGCGCCTAGGATGTTATGAACAAATTTCCGAAACTTCCACACCACTGACTCGATTCAATAGTCACATCCACGACGATCAATCCCGAGGAAAATTCTCAATAAGAAAAAGAAATACCGATCGTCGACATGAAATCAGCTAGAGTAATTAATTTGTCATTAATAATAAATTAATAAAAAAAGAAACGAGAACAATTATTCGGAATGGTCGCGCTCACTCTTAAACAACGATTAAACTTATAACAACATAACAAAACGTAAACTCCTCGTTGCTTTGAAATTCTATTCGCACGGATGCGGGTTGAGGGCTTGGAAGAAAAAAANAAAAAAAAAAAACAAAAAAAAACGAAAAAACTGAAACGAAAGAAAGAAAGAGAAAATGCGAACGAGAAAGTTGGCAAGTAGCGACGAAATATACGAAACGGCGACTGGTAAAAAGCACCCCGTAGTTGACCGATGGTGCGTACGTTTACCCGCGCTCAGTGCCTGCATGTGCATGCGTTGACCTCTTTTTCTCTTGCATTGACCGTGTCTTTTCTCGCATAACTGGGAGGAAATATGTCCTGTGGTATATGCAGCCCATTGGCCTGCACGAAATAGTCGCCGTTTATATATATATTACGATGTACATATTGCATATTTGCGTTTATATGTATTATATATATTACGATGTATATATTATATATTAACGTTTATATATGTATATATATTATATATTTTATATATTATATATATGTATATATTCTATATTATATTATATATATATATTACGTTTGTATATGTATATATTATATATATTATTTATATATGTATATATTATATTATACATATTACGTATATGTATATATTATATATATTATTTATATATGTATATATTATATTATATATATTACGTTTATATATGTATATATTATATTATATATGTATATATTACATATTTACGTTTATACGTGTATATATATATATATATATATATATATATATATATATATATATATATTACGATGTATATATTATATACTTACGTTTATATATTATATTCTATATTACGATTATATATGTATATATTACATATTTACGTTTATATTACGCACGTATTACATATATATCTCGCACATCGGCTTATCGTTTTGTGAACCACGTGCACGCGCGCACGCGTATATATGAACATGCGTAGCTGCATGCGTTTGTTGCATGCAATGAGCTTGTGCTATTACCCTCGTGCACTCTCTCTCTCTCTCTCTCTCTCTCTCTCTCTCTATTTTACATACATATATATATATATATACATATTACATTATATTTCAAATATGCGATTACGATTCGAAGGATTTCTTTATATATCCTTTTATTCTTTCTTTTTCTTTTTTTTTTTCTTCTTCACTTTTGTCAAAACTGTCTGTCTGCCAGTTCTGAAAATAAGAACTGAAAGATCACAGTATTGTAGATTTATGCGAGTATTTTTGCGAGGCGCGTAGTTGTTTGTACGTAGATCGTTTTTTTTTTTTTTTTTTCTTTTTTCTTTGTTAACGCGTAGCTCCTCTTTGTTTCCTCTTTGCATTTCGTTTTGTACAGCGTGTCTGAACAGTTTTGTTCGTTTGTCGTTCAGTTCGCTGGTCAGAGACGAATAGGAGATCTCGATATATCCGTGATAGGAACGATAATTCATGTGAACGAGAATTGAACGAACGAATCGACGATTACGGGGTAAAGAAATTTTTCCAACGAATCTGCCGGATGAACAGAAATGATATATATGTGTATCTCGTCTGAATGGAAATTCTGACTTTAAAGAGACAGATGAACAAAAAATGAAAGATCGAAAGTGTGGTACACCGGGACTAATACGCACTCGCTCGTCGCGTGCACCGAGACTTTTTTTTTTTCCTGTTTCTTTTTGGCTGTAGTTTGCCGTTTGTTGTTTGCTGCCGTGAGTAACGAGTTATTTGTTTTTTCCTTTAATTTTTTTTTCTTCAAATAACAAAGTAACAATCTCCGGACAAGCTGTAGTATGAATAACGTAGTGAAAAGAAACAAAAAAAGAGCGAAATTTCGATTTGCTTGGCGACGAGAGTCGCGGGGCGAATGTTACGTGATCGAGATCTCGCGAAGGCAAGTGAAAAATCCACGATCGTTCATCTTACGTTTTCAGCTTTGCGTAAAAATTTCGCCAAATGTCCATTTCTTTTATTTTCTTTTTTTCTGTCTCTCTCTCTCTCTCTCTCTCTCTCTCTCTCTCTCTCTCTCTCTCTCATTTTGTCCTCTTTACGCAGCTACTCACAGGTAGAGATTACATACCTACTGTATATCTAGATACTCGTCTGTATTGATTCGAAGACAATGCTGCTTGCGAGTAACTACGCAAGTTGAATCGCTAGTGAAATCATGCTAGAAGCTCACTAGATCCTAGTTTTTACTTTAGAGCAAGATATTCCTGTACGTTTTAGCATCGTGCCTTCGCGACTTCGTGGATCACGGAGAACGAGCCAGCGAGGATCGTTGGATAATTGATCGTTCTAACTGATCGTTCTCGGCTTTTCTAGGTGCAGCAGCCAATCTACGCAAGGAGGTTATCAGAAACAAGATCAGAGCCATTGGCAAGATGGCGCGCGTCTTCTCCGTCCTCAGGTCGGTTAATCAATTTAATTAGCAGTAACTGTAACTTAAAACTAGATTGGTCGAGAACCCTTTAACTTCGATCAAAATGCGCATCTCGTAAAAGTATTACACTCGTTGTAATCGTAGATTACGTAAAATTACGATTACACTGATCTTTGCACGATTACGCTCTTCGGTGATTACTTATCATTGGGAATTGGTTCGTCTTTCAGAGAGGAGAGCGAGAGCGTGTTGCAGCTGAAGGGATTGACGCCCACTGGAGCTTTGCCTCTCGGTGCGTTATCAGGTGGCAAGACGTCCCTAAAAAACGGTAAGTTTCGTCAGCGATTCAATTGAATTACGTGGATCAAAAGGATTTTTTACAGTGATTCAAGAGCAAGTGATATTTCTCTAATAATCCCGACACGTCATTGCGATCAGTCCACCTAACAGACTAGTGCACAGTGAGGTACATTTGTGATACAGTTTATGGTTCACAAATGACCCTTACTTCAACATTTTGTTTCATTTGTTTTAATGAATTTGTTATTTATATTAATAATATTTAATGTAATTATTATATTAATATTATATTAACATTTAATAATCAGTTTAACTATTAATTTATTATTTATATCAGTAATATTTATTTTAATATCTCAATTTTTTTTATTCTTCATTAGTAATAATAGTTAATTTATCATTTACATTAGTAATATTAGTAACAATAATATCAGTAATATTTATTTTAATATCTCAATTTTTTTATTCTTTATTAATAATAATAGTTAATTTATTATTTGTATTTATTAATAATATTAGTTAATTTATTATTTATATTAGTAATTTTAGTAACAATAATATCATTAATATTTATTTTAATATCTCAATTTTTTTTTATTCTTTATTAATAATAATAGTTAATTTATTATTTATATTTATTAATAATATTGGTTAATTTGTTATTTATATTAGTAATATTAGTAACAATAATATCAGTAATATTTATTTTAATATCTCAATTTTTTTATTCTTTATTAATAATAATAGTTAATTTATTATTTGTATTTATTAATAATATTAGTTAGTTTATTATTTATATTAGTAATTTTAGTAACAATAATATCATTAATATTTATTTTAATATCTCAATTTTTTTTTATTCTTTATTAATAATAATAGTTAATTTATTATTTATATTTATTAATAATATTAGTTAATTTGTTATTTATATTAGTAATATTAGTAACAATAATATCAGTAATATTTATTTTAATATCTCAATTTTTTTATTCTTTATTAATAATAATAGTTAATTTATTATTTATATTTATTAATAATAATAGTTAATTTATTATTTGTATTTATTAATAATATTAGTTAATTTGTTATTTATATTAGTAATATTAGTAACAATAATATCAGTAATATTTATTTTAGTATCTCAATTTTTTTCCATTCTTTGTAACAACCGATTCAATTGTCATAACAATTGAGCCAGTGTCGAAATTTTCGAAACTGGTCTCTCGCTTAATTTTCTAGGGATTCTTGTTCCCTTTTCCCTCCGTTTACATCAGCTCAGCCACAAACTGACAGCCACTCCTGCTCTCAGCTATTCATACACCATGCATCCTATCCCCGTGATATTTCGTTTCGAGTGCCGATGGCCAATTCACTCGAAATTATTGCCGACAGCTCTGCAAGGTTTCTCGCCGAACCACAAAATCACCTCGTTCGCCGAGGCGAAAGGTCTGGACGCTATAAACGAAAGGATGCCACCAAGAAAGGACGCCCCGCCTACGCCGGTAAACGAGGAGAAGCCCGTGATAAAGCCGCCGGATCCTGCGGGAGACAAGCGAGACCCCAACACACCGCAATCGCAATCGTGAGCCTCACACTCGTCCAATCAAGGTACACATCACACCCACGTGGATGATCCTGACAGGGAGAGCGTTTTCATACTCGCTCTCTCAAGATTTCTATCTTCGCTCCTTTTTGTTTTCGAATCCTCGATCCCCCGCCGATCCCGCCGAACTTGGAATAGATATTTACGGTGCCACTGTATCGGCGAGGTTGTGAAATCTGACGGCAGTAGCGAAAGTAAAAGAACAGAAAATGGCGATTACATAGAAAATTTAGATGTCATATGAAATGTCTAAAATTATTATAATTCGGTGTTGGCAATGTTTGATGGAAGAAACAAATTTCTACTTGTTTCTTTGATTATATTCGTAAACAGTTCGTAAATTGTGTGAAAGTCTATAGTCTAACGTATCAATGCTGTCGCGTGCTTTTTTTATTTTATAAAATCTCAACAGAATTCGATGGTCCTTGATAGAAGCAACCATGGTCTTTGCAGTGTTAACGTCGAGGGTGAAGTTTAGGAAATTTAGTTGAAGTTTACAGAGGAAAGCTGTTATTACAGAGATAATAAATTACTATAGATCGTTTGCTAATTATATATATATATATACGGAAGGGAGCAAATTTAATTAATGTCGGCCATTGTGATCACTTGTCTAAAATAATTAAGAAAAATATGTTTAACGACTTTGGCGAATGTGAAACTGTACGAAGAATTAAAAGAAATTTAGATGGAATATTTAGTGAAACAAGTCAGGATCCATTTCGTTATGAATTAAAAATCCTATTTGCAAGATTGAACTATTGAGAAAGTATAATGATTCTAAATGGGGTTGAAATATCAGTAATATCAATTATTTGTTCATTTATTCGATCTGTTGTTTATTCGATTTGTTTATTTATTCAATCATTTATTCATTCTGTAAATGTTCTGAATATGTAAGAGTGGCATTTAAATCTAATATTATCCTTTCATGTCGATCTACCAATTTTATAAAATTTATCAAATTTATTAAAACATCAACGTTAATAATTTTCTATAATACACATGTAATCTGTAACCTCGTCATACCCTGGTCCGTACTGTATCAAAATTCGCAGGATCCACGAGAGATTGATGAGCAATTGTCGTTGTGGATGCATTAACACGTTGACTGCGATCAGTATCGAGCATATATCGACATAAATATTATAAATATTTCAGATTGATCAAAACAAAAATAAACGTTATTCATAAAAGAAAGGATGACATAAATAAATACTGTGAGACACGCACTTTCACTTGCAGTGTATCGAAAAACATGGCAGTGAACATGTTAACAAAACGAGAATTCGTTCATCGGATCGATCGGATCGAGTATTCGAGAGATACGAGACAGTGAAAGGAGCGATTAAAAAAAAAAAAAAAAAAAGAAAATCATTATTATTATGATCCACGAAAAAATCGCAGTAGTATTTGGCTCAGGCGTTTGAAAGTTTTGTCTTGTTAGAAAGAGTAGATGATAAACGAAGAATGAACGAAAGAGAAGTTCCACGAGTGATCGTGTATCGAAAACTGTAACGAAACAGCTCGATAATTGTACACCGATTAACTCATCACGCACGATACGCACCATCGAATATATATATATATGTATGTATGTATATGTGCATATATATATATATATATATCTGAATTGTCTGTTCTCTCACCCTGTGTCACGCGTGGTCGATTAACTTTGGCACGTTGGGTTATGGGGGTCACGACTAACCCGGAGAAGGTGGTACACGTGGACTCACAGCTTCCTGTTGCGTGTTGCACGAGTGTCGACCCATGGAGAAACGCTTTGTCGGCCGAGTCGTTCCTCCCGATGAACATCGTTCCACTTTTCGCCAAGCATTTTGCTGTTTCCATCCCTCGAAAATGTATTTTTAATCCTTTCGGTGCAGCGAATAAAACTTTTTGCAATTTCTTCCGTGTTCTTTTTTTTTTTTTTTTTTGGTCAGATATTTCCGCGGAATTTTCCGCAAATGTTATTTAAAAAAAAAAAATTGAACGTCAACGTTATCAAAAAATTAAAAAGTTCCGAGCGTCTGTAAATCTCGCGAAAGATTTTTTTTTTTACATCCGCAAAAGACATCGCGGTTCAGTGAGTTCGACAAATCTTCAAATTGATTTCAAAGTCCCGATCTTTTCGCTGGGAATTCGAGGCCCAGGATTTTCGTACGTTTCCAGGTACAAAATTCCGTGTTTTTAATCAATCTCTGGGGAATTTCGTCGCCGAGAATGTTCGCGTACGAACGTGCGAAGGACGCCGCAAAATTCAGGATCCACTGTCCCGATTGTAATTCAACAATTTCGGGCGTGAAATTGCGATCGCCAAGCAAAAACAGACCGTAGTCTCGACGTTGTAATTAGCAGAAACTATGTCGGCTTGTTCCTCGTTAGAAATACAAATTAGTATATCGGGTTGTAGACGAGGAGACTTGCACAGCTCCTCCAAACTGCAAACTTCGCCAAACTTGCAAACATTCATCAAAGTTTGAGCGATATTGTCTTCTCACGGTAACTGTCCGCCGTTCAACCGAATTAGAGACAAGTAGTTGCGGCCGTTTATTGTCAGACCTTGGACCGCTGAAAATGGTCAGGAACGCTTGACGGCCATTAACAGCCACTGCTGGTAATAAGATTATTTCGTTGCAGCGAAAGGACTGAAAATGAGGGAACTACCCAAAAGACACGAAACGCAACACCAGATACGTGGATTTTTCTTTTGCTGATAAATGGCCCGCGTTCCTCAACTTTCATCAACCCTTCGACGGTTTGAAATTTAAGAAACAATAAAAAAAAAAATTTTTGTTACAACAGCAGTAATGAAAACAAATATATTATGTAAACACGTAGAATAGATCAAGAAATATTTAAAAAAGAAATCTATCGTCTCGTTGTTTTTATTTTTAATTACATGGTACTGTGCTGATAAATATATTATACTAGTACTATAGTATACTAATAATATAGTATACTATAGTATACTAATTATATAATACTATAGTGTACTAATTATATAATAATACTAATAATATAGTATACTATAATATACTATAGTGTACTAATAATATAATATACTAATAATATAGTATACAATAGTATACTAATAATATAATATACTATAGTATACTAGTAATATAGTATACTATAGTATACTAATAATATAATATACTATAGTATACTAGTAAATTTACAGTATAATATTGTGATAAATTAGTACGATAATATCATAAAAAAAAAAAAGAAACCTACTTCTTTATTATTTCCTCACCTACGCTTGCAGTTGAACGTGAAATAATATAAAATTTATATAAATATAAAATATTAATTTGTTCGATCTATATTAATTTGTTGTTTCTCTCTTACTTTCTTACTTTTAATTATGAGACCGTCGAAGGGTTCGGAGCGGCGAGTCGAAGCGACTGGCTGAAATGGGTGGTTCCCTCGAACGAAATTCACCGCATGCTAAACATCAAGGCTGCAAAGCCGTAAAAGGGAGATCGATATACTCGCACAAACTTCGCGCACAGTTGTTTCTCCGTGTTCCCCAAAGGAGACCTAAAACATCGCCGATGCTTTTCCATCGGATAATCGTCCGTGAGCGCTCTGAAACGCTCGTTTCCAGAAATTAGGGCTCTTTGGGGGAAACCGGGCGTCGGCAGCTCCTACGATCCCGTACAACTTTCCCAGCTTCATACCAACTGCAACTGTTCACGGATTCGTGCCTTGTTTGTGAAAGTCGAAGATTTCGGTCGTGAATCGCGTACGTCAGAAATTCTGTGATTCCGAATCTTTGGAAAAATATTATTAAATTAAATAAATCGTATTCGACATTGAATAACTTTCGTTTGAGACATTTTTTTTCTTTCCACGAGTGAATATTTTTGAGGATAATTTGTAGAATGAAATGGGGATACTTGTTTTAGAATTACGATAAATTAATAATATTGTACTTGCTCCTGTTAATTCTGATAATGATAAAATTAATAAAATTACAAATTAGTAATTGAAACTAATTCATATCGTTCAGATCATAAAAATTTGAAGAAAAATTTTTTTATTGTAAGAACTGCTTGCAATAAAATTGAAGGATCCTAAAATTGATGGACATTCCTGTTACATGAATTGAAAAAATTTGTAAAATCAATTGATGAGGATGAATGATGTAAACATAATGATAATGGTGGATATACAGTTCACCCAGTTCTTGTATTTGAAAAAAACAATAATATAAATTGAATTTTATAATTAATTTTGATACTAATAGTTTTATCCTTAAAATTTAATATTATGTCTGTGAAAAAGAAGTAAATTGTAAATTTATTTATATTTTCCATTCTTTTAATATGGGGCCAATCAATTTCAAGTTTCAATCAAACGAAACAAAACATCTAGAACATTAGCAGATTACTCAAGTTTCTATTGTAGAGCCGACTGGCCGTGATAAAAAATGATAAACCTACGTTGTGCAGATGCTTCGGGGGAAAAAAGAAAAAAAAAAAAGATCCAAGAGAGTAATTTCACGAAACGATCAAAATCTTCGACTCGCCACTTTTCGTCACGAAACGCGAAACACTGTCTCTCTCGAACCATCGCCAGCGCAACGACGTGAACGTTGTAAACGATGTTCATCGGCGAGGAAAACGCGGCCGGCAAAGCACGATGGAACGAAGACGAAGGCCATCGTTGCACGTTTTTCAGGTGGCAAGGATGGGTGTTAAGGTCCCAGTGCTGTCGTCGCCACCGCCGAAAGATCCAATCCATCGATCGTCTCTCACCCCCGGTTGTTATCGCCAGCGTGCCGTTCGTCGAGTCGAGGAGGTGTTATCATCATCATCATCGTCGTCGTCGTCGTCGTCGTCGTTGCAACGAGCAGGATGAGGAGGAGGAGGAGCAGCGGGGATCACCGCGAGAAACGAACGTCCGTGAACGCGGCCGAGATGAAGAGGATGGTGGAGCGCGTCGTGGGAGCAACGAGCAACGTCGTCGTCGTCGTCGCGTGTGTCGTTCGCGTCTCGGCGGCCGTTGCTGCGACTGGTGCCCCGGACGAAGATTGAGGTGCTCAACGACGGCTCGGCTGGCCTCGTTCGGTTGCTCGCGGCCAAAACCAGCTGGGATATTCGCCTCGCGGGAGGAGCTGCGCGCCCGCCGTGCCCTTGTCTCTTTCGTCCTCTTCCTGCCCGTGGACGACGACTTGCACGACCTACTTCCGCCGCTCTACGACCCGTGGCCACATTGGATCGCCACTTAAATCAAATCGGCGATTGCCAAGAAGCGCTGGAGTGAGCGAGCAGCACGCGTAACGAAGGTTCGTTGGTCGGAATGGAGAGAAGGAGAGTTGAATGCGAGAGAATGAAAGTCTCCGTGTGTTGCGCGCGCGTGGCACGAAGACACACCGTGCCGATCGGAGGATCGGTGCAGATCGGTGAGAATGAAAATTTCGTTCCGAAAGTTTCCACCTAAGCGGGAAAGAAGGGGAGGAACGCGCGTGTAGACACGGAGCGGGCGGCAAAGCGGGCAGAGGCTGGTAGATTGTTGGCCGATTCGTTTCTTTTTTTCTTTTTTTTTTTTTTTTTCTTTTTTTTTCTTTTTTTTTTTTTTTTTTTTTTTTTTTTTTTCACTCGCGGCACTCACTCACGGACGGACACATACGCGCGCACCACGCACCACACACGCACAACCAGACGTAGCCCCGGCTACGCGAGCCGCCCCTTCGTCACCGTCACTCTCCTTCGTAGTCTGTTGGCGAGCGATCCCCTCGACGACGAACACCTCGCCGACACCTTCAGCCTCGATCACAGCCGAGCGGGGAGTAACGTCGGCCGCGGTGGTTGAGCAACAACGATCGCTCGAATCGGCGCGCCTCGTCGGTCCAGCCAGCGGATCGTCCTCAAGCATTATAACACAGTACACCACCGGCCATTTCCCGCCCAGCCTTCGAGAGCTCCGACACTTTCGGGAGCTCTCTTCTTCTTCTTCCTCCTCCTCCTCCCCCTCCTCCTCCTCCTCCTCCTCCTCCTCTTCTTCTTCTTCTTCTTCCTCTTCTCCTCGTTCTCGCTGTTCTCGGTCCACTGGTTCGCCGGCAACGCGATCACCAGCGGCGACACACGTTCAACGACAACGGACCAGGACCGAACGACACCGTCGACGACGACGACGACACCACCACCACCACCGCCACCACCACGACGACGACGACGACGACACCCAACCCCATCCAGCGAGCGGAGCAGCTCCGGCGACGGGAGAGCAACCGCCGCGGTGGTGTAGAGCGCGCAGATCGGCACACGACGATGCGAGAAGGGACGAAGGCGGATGCGCGACGGTCGATCACACGCCAAGGGAAAGATAGACTCTCAATGGCGTCCCCTATGGGTGGGCTCCGGTGGTCGCGCCACTAGCCAGACTCCACTCTCGTTGATCCTGTCCCATGAGGATTTCCTCCCTGTCCATCGACACCACGGCCATCAACGAATCTCTCTCTCTCTCTCTCTCTCTCTCTCTCCCTCTCTCTCTATCTATTTATTTATCTATCTATCTATCTATCTCTCTATCCGCGGTTTTAACCAGTGAGAAACGATTCCAATCCCTCGAATCGTTTCAAATCGAAGTGTACGGGAGTGTACACGGTGGGATGGGTGGATGATGGATGGACGACGAACGTTTCACGAATTCCACCGAAATTTGCTTCCCTCCGGTTAACTTTGGCTACGTCCTCCAACCACGACGACGACGACGACGACGACGACGACGACGTTATGGCGAATATTCAGTGACGGAGCAGCAACACGTAGAGACGTGAAGACGAGGCGAGAAGTTGGTGGCTGGTCTCGTCCTGGCTGGCTGGCTGGCTGGCTGGCTGTTGCTCGTCTTGGTCGTCGTCCACTCTGGAGGTTCGTGGTCGTGGAGCTCGCGGCGCGG